ACGGACGGACGGACAGAGTGAAACTAATAAGCACTTTTTTCAAAAATTTTTTTGGAAAACTGCTAAAAATACAATATAATGCAATATTGACAACAATGGCACTTTTTCACTAAACGTAGGAAGTTGGAGGTTTGGCTGTTAGACCTTGAAGTGACCGAGAAGTTAGACCGAGAAGTGTTGTGACTTTTTCTCGCAATCATATCTTATAAAAGGTCTAACAGCCAAATTTTCAACTTCTACGTTTAGCCGTTATCACATTACAGCCATTCAGGATGTGTGATCTAACATACATACAACAATTAATATTCTAAAAATCGTTTGTCAAACACCCTAAGAGGTTCGTGTACCGTAAATTTTTTTTAAAAATTTTTCATAAAATTTAAAGAAAAAAATTCAAAGAAAACTTTATAATAATTGTGATAGAGTTTTTTTTTATTTTATTTGAAATTAATTTTTTATTACTTGTTTTGAATTCCCTTTGTAAAATAATATCGGAAAATGTTGAAATATTGAGAGTTTTCTTCGAAAATATTGAACTGAAACTGGATAAATCTTTTATAAATTCTCAATATTTAAAATAATTGTGTAAAAAGTCGTAAAATTTCATTGTAAAAAATATTTTTTGTCCAAAAATTTTTAACAAAACTATTTTGAGTAAATTTAAAGTAATTGAATTGAGTATACCTTTTGACATATTTTCAAATACAAAAGTTTATAAAGAAAGACCATTGATGTTATGGATGTAGCAGAAAATGGTAAGAGTTATAATAAATTTTGAGCAAATAAAAGATGACTAACATTTAATTTTTGTCGAATTTTTATTTTATTTTTGATTTTATTTTCTTTTACTGCTGTTTTCGATATTATTATTCAAAATTCAATCAAAATAAAAACTCTTTATACTATTTTATCAATTGATATTTCAATATTTACTATTATTGCATACCTATAGGATAAAAAAAAATGTTTAAAAGAAGAGTTAATAATTATAATGATCAAATGCAGACGAGCTCGGGACAGAAATTGCTTAGGCCTGTCTTCTTTCAAGTGGTTAGTGAATAAAAATTCTAAGGACTTTTCAACTGGTTAGTGAATGAAAATTCTAAGGACTTTAGTCGGTTTTTGAAAAAACTACACTGATTAGGATAAGAAAGTGAAAAAACGAGAAATCCTTTCATTTCAAAGAATGGAAAATATTTTTCTTTAACGTGGAAATTTTAAAGTATAAATTTCTTTATTTTTTTTTCAGAATTTTGTTATTTTTGTTATTATTATTTCCTTATAAAATTTTCGTCAAAGGTTAATTTAGTTGGAAAAATTCCGAATCGGAAAATATTTGGAAAGCAAAACAAAAAACGATATAAGAAAGAACAATTAATGATCAAATAATTTATTTTGTTTATTTCTTCTGTTTTGAAGGACACAAAATTCTTATTTATTATTGAAATACAAATAATAAATAAAGAATCCTATGAAATTGAATATTATGAAAAGAAATGCCTGCGTAAACATAAATTTTCACACTACAATTTATTTTTCATCACGAATGAATTTTTACGTGGGCATAAAGGATATTTTTTTATTTATTTTCTTTACCGTATATATGGAAACGATATGAAATTTGTTTTCTCAATATTTTGTACAAAATGATTGAGGTGTGGTCGAATTTTAATTTATAATTAAAATTCAAATTAAACCATTTTGAAATTAATGATTAAAATTAAAATCTCATTATCATTTTATTTATTAAAGTAGATGTTGTAAAGGACTAAGTGAATATTTTTTTTAGAATTAAAACCAATATTATGGGAGGAATTAAAAAATTTCATAGCTGAAATTATAGAATTCTAAGATACAATAACAAAAATTCTGAACAAAGAAAAATTGCGAGCTCCATAGTGAGGACATTTTTTTGTTACTGCTTTACTCCCTTTGGGAGCATAGGGCTTCCACAAAGCTTCTCAAAAGAACTCTGTTAGGGGCCATTCTTTTTACTTCTGCTCATGTCATGTTAGCCGTGGCGATTTCTTTCTTTATTGTTCTTTGCCACGTATTCTTTGGCCGTTCAACACTTCTTCTACCCTGCGGATTTTTCTCCAATACATGTCTTGCAATAGTTTCAGGCTGGCGTCGCAATGTATGGCCTACCTATCACCATTTTTTCTTCTTTATAATCCTTGCGATTGGTTCTTGGTGGATTAAATCCCAGAGGTCTGTGTTGCTGATTACTCTGGGCCAGAATATACGGCAGATGATCCTTAGGCTCCTATTTGTTAATACCTTTTGTTAATACCCATTTTATTTGTGTATTCATTTTTCGCTAGCCATGTTTCGGAGCCATACAACAGGACCGGCTTCACATGTCGATGTTATGCTGCCGAGGTAGTTGAATTGTTCAACATTTTGTATAGTGGCTGTATTTATGACGAATGGTCGGTGAATTAACTGCCTAAATTTTTAAATTAATTAGAATTAATTTAAATTATTTTGAGTAATCCGGTTCTATCAATTAATTCTTCAAATTATTTTCCTCCTGAGTATGTAACTCACTCATTTTCCTTTGGTCTAATATAATTTGTAAGATGATAATTCCATAATAAGTTCTGATTAAAATTTCATACCAAATATTTCATTTGTTTCTAGACATACTCCATTACATATTCCGTAGTCAAATTGTTGTCACAATTCTGAGAAATATTTTCTAAATATCATGTAAATACAAAATATGATTGTGAATTTCACAAATGGGGTCCATTTTCATGCAGAGAATTTCCATGAAAATACCAAAATGAATGGGTAGAACTTTCAATAATACGCACAATTCTTTGAAAATTATGTGGGCTTCAATTCAAATATATTGCTTTTAAATCTTTGATCTTGAACTTTAAATCTTGATACTTAATTGATTCCTTGGTTACAATTTATATTATTAATTTTTAATAATGTTTGACCTAACTGGAATTGATTAACTTAGAAAATTAACTTTTACTTTGAATAACATTTTTAATTTAAAAAATTTACATTAGTTTTTGTATTCCACATTCAATAAAATTGATAAAATTTAATGTCCTTTAATAAGAATTTCAATTTTATCCTTTATTTTTTTACCTATAAAATGGAAAATAATTTTACTGCTTTAAGTTCTCCTTTTCTTCTAAAATATGTTTTTTGGAATACAAGCAACAACAGTTGAAAAAATAATTTAAAAACTTTAATTGACCAAAAATCGATTTTTGGTTTGAACAATTTTAAAATTTATTGAAAAGTATAAAAAAAAAACTTTTTGTAAACCACATAGATGTCATTGAATAAAATTTATTGAGTTGATCCAGTCAATTTAAAGGTTTTGTTATAAAATTTGTTAAGAAAGAGCACAATAAAAATAGTTTTCTACTATAACGACGATTTTTTGGTTTTATGTATTAAAAATTGAAAAACTAAGATCGCCTCCTTCTAGTTTCCTGGGGTTGCTGATTTCTGGAGTCTCTCCAGTGAGTAGTCCTGATTTTATTCGTTATATAATATTGTTAACTTAATTTTTAATATGTCGTACAAGATTCTGTTATACTATTCAAAACATTACACACATGATTATTGTAAATAGTCTCCGATTCAATACTATGGTAGGAATGTGGTACGAATATGATCAATAAATTTTACACATCATAAATGAAAAACCATTCAAATTACATACGTCTCCAATGATGATTTGAAATGAAACTGAATAAATTTGTTGTACTAGATTTTGAAAAATCTTTTTATTTATTTGGTATTGTCGAAAAAATTCATTTTAAATTATATTTTCCATATTGTATTGCTATTGAATTTGTAGTTTTGTTTAATGTTTATGTAATTATATTTGGATATTAGTTCATTTGAAAAATATTCTACATAAATCTATTCAAAATTCATTAAGTAGGACTAAAATTGAAAATGAAAGCTATTGAAAGTTGAAATTGCTTCAGTGTAAAATCGATTTAAAAATACTTTGAGCAAAATATGTGAGTTCAAGAGAAGCACATATTTCCTTTGAAGAACGATTTATAAATTTAACATTAGGAAAATTAATAAAAAAACCATATAGTTAATAAATTTTAAATTTAGAATTGAATTGTGTTACTTAAAAAAATTTTCGGAAGTCTGGTTTCGAAAACAGAAAAATTAGCCTATTTTTCAATGTATTTTATATAACATCAAATCCTCCACCCCTTGTCAAGTTATCGTCTCTCAGAATTTTTAAAATATGAACTTTTTTCACTTTAAATTTCCAAAACTACAAGCTGTCCCAAATTACTGGAAATGAAGAGAGCTAGCGGTAAATGCAATAAAATTAAAAAATTTAATTATATTTCTTAACTTACGCAATTATCTCTTATAATTTTTTTTCGTCTTATCCTAAATATATGCAATTTTTTTTAAAATGTTAGTATATGAATGAGACAAATTTTACAAATGTTACGGATTGTTTTTAACAGTAGTATTTTAGGTTGATGAAGGGAAAAGAAGCACATTACAAACCATTGCTTTTTTTGGATATTTAAAGAAAACTACACATACATAACGTATGTAAGTAAATATTGTTTTATTATTTTCGAATCGCCTTAATAATCTAGTAATGAAAAACATTTTTTCGAATTCTTAAAATAAAGTGTATTGTCTTTAACATTAATAAAATATTTATTGTAAAAATTCTTAAAAATTTCCTTTTCATTTTAAAAAAAATATTTTGAAAATTTTAAAATAAAAATGTGATCTTTCTCTGGTTTACGATTTCCTTTAAAAAGTGAATTTAAAAAATGTGAATCAAAGTTATGTAGAAACTATTTAAATTTTAAAATACAAAAACATTCCTTTTTTTTGAAAATTTTTAAATTTTTGGTAAAAATTTTGCTTTAATACCAAAGTATGTTTAATTTTTAAAATATTAATCATTTTTTCATTGTAAAAAAAATACAAAATTTTTGAAATTAATATTGTTCTTAATTTTTTTTGAATTTCAGACAAAATGAATAACAGAATCACACGATGGGAAATAATTTGGCTTCCAATAATAAAACTGTAAGTCTATTTTATAAATTTTGTTCATTATTAATTTTGTGAATTTTATAGCGTGAATATTTTGAAATAATTAATCAAAAGATATTCTTGGTCTTTGATTACAATCGAAATTTTAGTTTATTAATTTTGTTTTACATATGTATGTACATACATATACATACATATATTAAACTAATTGCTTATGCAAAGCATCAATTGTCATTCAAATTAATATTGCTCGAAAGAGCTAAAACAATCATGAAGCTCGAAAGAGCCAAATATTCATGTTCAAAATGAAGCTTTCAGATTGCCAAGACAATTTTGTGAGACAATGAAAGTGGAAAAGGTAAATTTTGGGATTAAATTTTACGGAAGAATAAAAACAAAAATAGAAGAAGAAAAACAAATAAGACCTGAGCTACAAAACTACTGATATCTAACAAGTTTAGATCTCAGAGCACCCTTATCAATATTACGATCATAATTACTTAAGTTAGAATTGGCAACACGCAACTTCCTAGTTATCGAATTATTCTCACCATAATCCGAACTGTGATGACAAATAACGGTCTCAAGTTGTTCGAATTATTCCAAAAAGACACCTACCCCAAAACGGCAACGCAACGCCGTATAATTTTTAAATAATCATACTCTTCTATCAGTAAAAATATCCTATCTTCCCGATTGCAAAATAATCAGTTTTTCAACCGTTTTTATACAGTCTAGAAACTTTATCAATTTTACTTTAAGCTGTCAAAATTGTATGTTTTGATTTTGTCATGTGATTTTAATATTTGTGGTTGCCTTGTCTTAAAACATACCAAGTTTTTTAGGATGAGGGAAATAACAGCCAAATAGTTAAAAATAAATAATTTGTGACTGAAAAATATTAAATTATTCAAATGAACCACAAAATTGTAATCTAACTATCTTGCTTATAGTAAGCCTCGTCTTCTAGCATTGTCATTTTTTTTCTTCGATTTGGTCCTCTTTCCCATTCACATTATGTGGTCCAGATATTTTATGAGTTTATCACTTAATATATTATAGATTCAGTCCAATTATTTGATTCAGATAACATTTTCTGATTCAGAATGTTACGAATTAAGATTACGTAAACATACATACCTAAATATTTAAATAGTTAACATATTTTACAATATCTTTGAAACATTTCTCTTATGTTCGGCATTATTAATGTTATGCAATGGCAAAATACATTTTGCCCATTTGAATTACGATAAAAGAGAATTATTTGTGGGAGTGTAAAACATAAAATTGGAACAGAAATTTTATAGTAGTTCAAATTTATTAACAAAATTATTTAAAAGAAAAAAAAATTAAATTCTATACATTCAAAAATTGAATTTAGTTTTTTTTTTTTAAATTCTTTTACGTGTTCTTTTGTTATGCTTTACGGTACAAAAAATGTTAATAAATTTAATTTATTTCTTCAATTTTATAGTAGGTAGCTAAAACATTGAAAATTTACTAAATATTTTTTTTTTATTTTAATGTTTTTTTTTTTAAATAAATAAAAATTTCTTCGAAAAAATGAAACATTTTTTAAATATTTTAAAAGAAATTCAATACAAATTATGTGCTCTTTTCCACAATACAATATTCGAATATAATTTCGAAATGATATGTAGAAGCTAGTATTTGTACAATAAAAAATATGTATGCAACGTATGTAGTTTACGAGTATAAAGGAAACAATTTCAAAAGAATTTAATTTTACAACAAAATTAATGTAAATAAAAATAATAATAAATTTTGCTAGAGGGCATTTTTTAGACATTTTGAGTATAAAATAACCAGGATTAAAACATCAAATAAAATATATTAGGTACAGAATAACATATTATTATTATACCCCTATATTTCATATTTTTTTAAAGAACCAGAAATACAAAAAGAAAACATGAAATGTTCATATACAAAAAAGTTGTAATATGCAAATTTTGAGAACAAACTAAAGAGAAAAAAAGCAGTGTTTCTCAATCAAATGAGTATTTATTTTAGGAAAAGAGACTGATTCAGGAAAAGAGACTTCATTCATTCTCAATTTCATGCAGCGATAGACTTTATTGTGGATGTACATACATACATTTCTGTAGAAAAATATCGAACCGGAATATAAGAGTTGTGTATTGGATGTTGTTATAGAGACGAATCGTCAAGTGGTTAAATGTATTAAAATTTATTGAAGGGAACCTTTTTAAAATATATGGTACAAACTTTATTAAAATTTATGAAATTATGAAGAATTTTGAATACTATCGAATATTGTGAACCCTGTGAATACTATCGACGTGAGCAATATCAATGTCAAGTGTTCCGGATCATTATTTTTAATGTTTCCTATTTTTGAATACAAATTAAGTTATTTGAATTTATTACAGAAGGATTTTTCTAGTTGAAAAGAATTGAAGAAAAGCGGCTAATGTAAGCAGATTGTAAAGTTATAGGCTCTAGTAAAATTAAAGTACTTTTCCCTATACTAAAACTGTATAGGGAAATAAAGTACTTTTTCCTATACTAAAATTGAAAATTTTATTATTTGAATATTCCATTTGAATACTAGGTCGCTCTTTGAATTACTAGAATATCGTTGTAATTATGTGCAACTTGGTTTAATGTCGATATTTACTGTTAGAAGGATTTAGGTTTTCCATAACTGAAGTTTAAATATAATTAGATATTTAGAGCCGAATTTTGACAGTATAACATTTTATTTCATATAAGAAAAATATTATTACTACACAAATTATGAATCTGACCATTGGTGCAGTGGTTATGGCACCGGTCCTTTAACCGAAGGGTCTCGGGTTCAAACCCCGGTCAGGTCACTATAAAAATTATATTCAATATTATTATAACTTAATATACAATACTAATAAATATTATACAAGTAATTTTCAAATATTCGTAATATTCGATATTAAAAAACTAAGAAAAATAAACAGTAAATATTAATAACCTCAAATAATTAATATAAATAAAACTACGGCAGGCTAGTCACCAATTAGTTAAACTCTATGACGCTATGAAACTAGTGCATGAGAAATCATGCCTAGCCCTAGGCTTCTTCTAGGAGTGAATAAGGAAAAAAAAAACACAAATTATGTAATTTTCAATATTCATCTATTTCAACTTCTTGGAGTGACTATCTCTTCTCTACGACAAATAACTTAGAAATTAGTTTGATAATTAGTTTGCAAAAATTACATTTCATATTAAAAAAAATATGTTGAGAGCAACTGTTTTAAAGTTTTTAGTGTATCATGCTTGGGCTTTTAGGGTTTCTTTATGAAAATATGAAAAATCAGAAATTATTTTAATGAATTCGAAAATCACAAAGTTTTGTATACTTGTACATGTGTATGCTTTGTACATATTTTAATGTTGTATGGCCTTTTTTTGTTTTTGGCCTTTTTTTTTATTTTTTTGTTTGTAAGATTATGTATTATGTATACCTTCGTCAAAAATTACTTTGTAAATGTTTATAAGTAGATAATAATAAGAAGATATCCTAATAAATATCACAAAAAAGTACAAGAAATGAAAGTTGAAAAAAACTAAAATAAAAATTTAATCTCATACTGCAAAGATATTCCAACTATAAGACTTCTAGGAATTTTTGTAGCTTACAGGTTTCTCACGAAAACTCTAAGTCAAAATACTTTCGTTTGATTCCAATTTACGTATAGATTACTTTTGTTGTTTTATTTAATTTCAATGTAAAGTTTTCATAAGAAAATTTGAAAGAAGCAAGAACGAATCAAGTTTGAATGCACTTATACCTTCTTAAAGTACAAGTTAGTAAAAATAATAATAGCTCCTTGCGAAATTTCAAAAAACTACCCACTTGCGGAATTCACTTTCACAGAACCTATAGGTCAAATACCGCTTCGGTTTAACATTCCTAACGTTATGTACGTACATATGCGCGCATACTATATTAAGAGCAACAAAATTTTTAAAATTTATAAAAGTTTTGTGTATATTTTTTAAGAATTAATTTTCATGTATGTGCATGACAGGAGCCCTATATTTTAACATAGAAACTATAAATTATACATGTATCCATTAATTTATTTATGAGTGAAAAGGGCGAACAAGTTTTTGTATAGTAGGCGTTTAAACAATTTTTTTTTGGTTTACTTGGTCAAGTAAAAAATTCAAATAATGAAAGTTGGTCATTAAAGCTAATTTCTTTTTTTAAATTAAATTTAATTGAAATTTGTACATTTGAAAAAACATTTTAGTTTTCGTAATTTTATTTTTAGTTTTATGACCTTTTACAATTGGATTATGAAAGAGGATCATAAAATTAAATGAAAATTTAATAACGAAAATAATTTGGGTTCTGGTTTTCTGTATTGAAATATTAAGATCGCGAGGGCAAAATTAATTGTGAGGTTTCATTTTTATAAATACATTCATTGTGGTTAAATACGATCGTAATTTGTAGCATTTCAAAAAAAAATTTCAAAAAAAAATCCGTCCTTTCGTCCGCGGACATGCTTAAAAATACACTCCTGAAGATGGAAAGGTGAAACTTCATATGTACATAAATTTTTATTTCCGTAGAAGAAAATTTTTACCTATCTCGTCGCTGTAAAAGTTATAGTCCCTCAAAGTCTCAAATTAGCAAAAGCTCAAACATTTTTTAAATCCTGAAATGTTGTAGGTGGCTCCTTCTACGGCGGCATTCCGTATTTAAACTTTAAAAAACCAAATAGTTGTTTACCTAAATTCCGTAATTTAAATTGGTTTTGTTTTCCAGAAATCTGCAATTTTAGCCACTAATAACTGATTCTTTTCGTTTGATGAAAATTTTTTTCCATCTTCACGCCGCCTTAAATTATTACTTCTTGAAATTTGGAAAAATTGCAATTTTAGCACCTTATATTTCCGAAACTGCAAGATTTTTCAAATTTTTATAAATGTAGAAAGCTTATTTTTCTTAATTCTTATTGATTAACCCTTAAAAACAAACATTACGCTAACGCCTCCTTAAATTTTTTTTGCTTTATTTCAGACACTTCATAAATTGTTCATCCTAAATGTATGCAATTTTCGAAATATATTCGTATATGAATGAAAGTAATAGAGAACATACCTAGAATGTTTTTAAAAGCATTATTTTCATTTGTTGAAGGGAAAAGTGCTACATTAGTACAATTCATTCATTTGACCCAATTTTATTCTGTTTTAATTCCATATGTAGGATTTCTGCTGTCGTTTCTTACAAATTTAATTAACCTTAAAAACAAATGTGATTTTTATAATGGTTTATCGTTCGTTTTCATATAAAATCATAGTTTTATAATTTCCGAAAAGTGTTAGAGTGAAGTTATGTAAGTCTTGGAAACGTTATCAAGTTTGTTAGATATTTTTAGGAGGAATTGAATTTTTAATTCAAACCGAATTACATTGTCGATTAAGTGAATTAAAACTAAATGTGTACGATATTTTTTAAAAACAAACTGCTTATACTTTCCACAAAATAGCTTGATAGATTTGAGCACGGGTTCAAATTTTGTGTATTATTTTATTGGCATAGATTTTAATTAATATATTTGTAATAAAATCAGTTTTATTACATATGTTTCATATTTTTGAAATTAATTAAAATCACGATTTGGGTACAAATTTTATTGAAACTAATTCAAAATAATTTCTTAATAGATCTTGATTAATGTCATTTTAATTGTTAAGATTAGAAAATTGATAAATTTTCATATGAAATACAGAACATACACACAAAATGTGTGTAAATAATTTTATTTGGTTGTGGATTTTCAATTTATTCGATTCTTAATTTTTAATGAATCGTTTTATGATTCTTATTTTTTTTGTTGATTCTAAATCATTATAACTTGTTTTTATGATTTTACGTGATCTTATAAGTTCTCAATAAAATTAATAAGGATAATATATTACAAAATGAATTAATTATAACACGTAAAGGACCCTTTTCTAATAGTAAAATAAAAAAAATAATAAAACGAAATATTTTCTATTTAAAAATTATAATAGCCAATTCGGCTATTGTAGAAAAGAGATGATAAACGAAGCAAAAAGATTCTCATTGATAGTTTAATCTTTTGTTCAGATAGAAATTGAATGATAACAATTCATTGAACTCAATATTTCAAAAATATTTCATAAAAATCTTTAATAGATTACATTTTTTTTCTAAAAATAAAATGGTTGCTTTTATGTGTGTTTTATTTTTATACACAAGCACACATATCTACATTACCGTGTGTGTTAAGGTTAACGTGAGTCAAAAGATATTAGTTTAATATATCTTCAACTTGCACCTCTGCTACATTCTGATGATGTTGATTTTGTTATGATACAAAGTAATGAAGGTTACTAATACAAAATTTGAAGGCATTCTTTGAACCTACGAACTCATATAGTCTAATTTTTGGGAAATTTCCGCAAAAAATTTAGGGTTTAGGATGTTTTCAATTGTATTTTTAAATCGCGGCGGTCATATATACCATAGTTGATAGAAATTGTAACGGGACGGCTTTGACGTAGCAGAGGTATGTCCCCTTATGTATGAGAAAAATTGATACGGTATTCAAAGGCGGAGGTTCTGCTTCCTCTCATGTGGAGTTTGGTTGTGGACGGCTTTTTGCGTTGATGATAATATCTTCATTATTGCAAGGAGCAAATATGGCGGTCCAATGTAGGATTTAAACCACGTGTGGTGACACACGACTTTCCGACTACTGTGTGGCTCAGTAGCCAAGGTTATACCATTTAGGTGCAATAAGAGTGTGCGCAGTGTTATGATGTCAGATGAAAGTCAATAATCTGAAGTTCTTTTGAGAGAAAGCTCCTTTAGTGAAGGTAGAAGACACTGTGGTTACGCGTGATATCCGGATACTCATGTTGTGGAATGTCACATCAGACAAAACGTGGTGTTGCTCTATGCCTTTGATGAAATGGATGTATACTGAATAGCATGACGGGGATGTTTAACCCATGTGGCAGTAGTGGGAAATGAAAGGGTAAATCTCTAGGGGAAAATTATTTTTTCCTATCATCTGTTAAACTTGTACTATTAAGCATTATTTCTGAAGTTTTGACTAACTTTCAACTAACAAGTAACAAAATAGGCGTTTATTCTTCTTCGTTATTCAATTTGCAATCTGCTTCCTTAGTTTGATGAATGCTTCATTTCAAACAAAATATCGATTTCAAACTAAATATAACTTGTATGATATTGCATAGGGTATGAGATAGAATTAACATTCACAGAACATAATTCCTAAATTGAAATTAAATAATTTTTGTGTTTATTCAATATCCTGTGATATTGAATATGTGGATTTAAAGTAAGTAGTAGGACCTTTTATATATTTTATCAATAATCCGGTTTTTTTGATGTATCGATAATAAATTAAAGTGTGTAACATAATGCTGTCTATTTCCCTTGTTTTTTGCCTTTTTTTTTGTGGTATAACACATTGTTAGATAATATCAATATAAATTTTCTTGTTCATGTACATAAATATACGCATACATTAACATTATATGTATATTACTTATAAATTTTGTATAACATTCTCATTTAAACGATGAATAATGATCGGAACGCATGAAAATATTCATCAAGGATGTAAAATAGATTTTTGCTTATTGTTCTATTTTTTTTTGTGGTGGGCTTTAACCGTTATAGATTTATTTTACTTTTTATTTTTCTTCTCTTTTTTCATGTGGCAGAATATTATAATTCTATTGTACCAAAAAAAAAAATGTTGCGTGCCTTCTAAATGAATCAATTTGTCAAGGACAAAAATGTATTCAAAATATATGAGATATTTTGTGATGTATGAATATGGGAGGATATGGGAAAGTGAATATGGGAGTAAATGTATTGAAACACACACACATACCAATATATCTTTTTAATTTAAATATAGTAACAATAAAAATAAGTAAAGCGTTTTGTTATGCCAAAAATTTTTGGAATTCGAATTTTTTATTTTATTTTTGTTTTTTTTTTGGGATCATCTTGTTATTCTTTTTTCCGGCTAAGCTGGTATACTTGGTTCTAGAAGAGGGGGGGCGGGGAGAAGCAAGTGATGGCTGAATGATGACTTAAATATTATTATGATCATAAATATCATTAAATTATGAAAGATGAGAATATAAACGTTATTAAATGTAAATTTGTGGTATGCGCCACAAATATTTGATTTTTTTTTTGTTTGTTTTTAGAATGTGTAGAAGAAAAATTCATTTTGATAGAATTTAAATCTGTATCGTATAATAATATAAAATTCACAGGATGTTACCATTATTTTCATGTTAATATTTTACATGATTAGCGTAAAAATTTACAATTTTCAGCATAATGCTCAGAAAATATAAATAGGTACTGGGTTTAATAAGAGAAATTTCTTCTTTGATTTTAAAGTTCATAAATTTTTCCTGCGCGTAATTTTTATGAAATTATTGATGACGAGACAATAATTTCGGCAGTAAAATTTTTTTTAAATGAGAAATTTTCGTTAAGTTACATTATTTGTATATTAGGGGCAATTTATTCTACTTACATATATAAAATATATTTTCTATATTCTTATATAATATCATCTGCAATCTTTTATTAATTTGAATCTGATGATATTATTCGGTAAAATTGACAATAAATTTGACTCTGATTTGCATAATTTTAATTTTTAATATTCGTCGCCACTGTACAAAATCTGGCTGGAATAATTTAACGACTAGAATGTTTTCACCTGCTTTTATCCTTTCATTTATATACAATATAATTTATTATACCTTTAGCGTATCTGGATTATAGCTCCGAAATTATGAAAAATATTTTCAAAATAATTTACGATTTTATGGAAAATAATTTTTAAATTTTGAGATTACATCCAAAACAGTTAAAAAATAAAATTTTTATTAAAAATAAATATAAATATTGAATGCTCTGGAAATAAGCTTTTTAAAATTAGCAAATTTTTCAAAAACATTCAAAAACAGCTATGTAAAGTTGAACATTTTTTTAATTATAACAACATTTCAACTGCATTGTATCGAAATTTTTTAAAATTTTTTAATATATTTCTTTTTTTGTTTCAGATTACGTATGCCATAGGAAATGTTTTCAACACTTTTCCAAAAATATTCAACAAATAAAATTTTGACTTCCATTAATATTTACTGAATCAACAAAAATTATAAAACAGAAAATTTACAAATAAATTCATTAAAGCAAAATAATTCATTGATCAATAAATTTCAAATAGAAACATACTTATACAAATAGCAATTTAACAGGACGGTAACAGCAATTAAATAATGTATTCAATAGTGCAAAATATATCATTTGAATATTTCTATAATACAAGCTCAGCGACATCAGATGGATTATATTTTTCATCACCATCAACATCACTAACATCACCATCAACCGAAAATTTATCAATATCAACAACAGTAGCTGAAGTTTATGTTGAAGAATGTGAGACAAGAGATAAAATATTTTATACTAGTTATTTTGGTATTTATTTAGCTGTACCAGATTGGGAGGCAATCGTTACAACAATAATATTATCAATAATTATAATGCTAACAATTATTGGAAATGTATTAGTTATATTAAGTGTATTTACATATAAACCACTTAGAATAGTTCAAAATTTCTTTATAGTATCATTGGCTGTAGCTGATTTAACTGTTGCCATATTAGTCCTGCCATTTAATGTTGCATATTCAATATTAGGACGATGGGAATTTGGTATACATTTATGTAAAATGTGGTTAACATGTGATGTATTATGTTGTACATCATCGATATTAAATTTATGTGCAATTGCATTAGATCGATATTGGGCAATAACAGATCCAATAAATTATGCACAAAAACGTACTGTCGGTCGTGTATTACTATTAATTGCTGGTGTTTGGATATTATCATTAATAATTAGTTCACCACCATTAATTGGATGGAATGATTGGCCAGAAGAATTTTCAAGTCAACATCCATGCCAATTAACATCAAATCGTGGTTATGTAATTTATTCAGCATTAGGTTCTTTTTATATACCATTAATAATTATGACTATAGTTTACATCGAAATTTATGTAGCAACACGACGACGTTTAAGAGAACGAGCGAGAGCATCAAAAATTAATGCGATTGCATTAAAAAGTGGTACGGGTAGCAGTGGTAATACTGGTTATACAATTGGTAATAAAACTGGTGGTAATAGTGGTATTAAAATTCCTACAAGAAATAATAGTAATAGTATAGATAATGATGGTGATAGTTGTATTAAAGATATACCAACGATATTACAAGATCCAGAATCAAATAGTAGTGAAACAAATCATAACGAAACGATTATTAAATTAGAAAAAGAAACAAATAATAAAAATAAAAAGAAATCTCGAAGACCAAAAATTAAAGATTCAATAAGATATGATCGTAAAAAAGGAAATAGTGGTAGCGGAAATCAAAATAATAAAAAAAACAATCAACAAGAAAAACAATTATTACAACCACAATCAGTTGAAGATTCTGTAACAGATAATTATGAAGAATCATCGGGTAGTGGAACGAAAAAAAGTACTGGTGATGAATGTGATGGTAGCGGTGGTGTTGGTGGTTTATGTGGTAATGATAGTCTATGTGGTGGTGTTAGTGGCGGTAGCTCAATGGCTATTGGCAATGGTAGCGGTTCAACAACTATTAATGGTGATAATATTAATAATTTAGATAAAAAGAATGTTAAAATTATTGTAAAATCAACAAATAATAATTGTAATAACAGAGCATCAGTTAAACAACGTTCAGCCGGTGTCTATCAATTTATTGAAGAGAAACAAAAAATTTCATTATCAAAAGAAAGACGTGCAGCTAGAACATTAGGTATTATAATGGGTGTATTTGTTGTATGTTGGTTACCATTTTTTCTAATGTACGTTATATTACCATTCTGTCCAACATGTTGTCCCAGTGATAAATGGATTAATTTTGTTACATGGTTAGGTTATATTAATTCAAGTTTAAATCCTGTTATATATACAATATTTAATTTAGATTATAGAAGAGCTTTTAAAAAGTTACTTGGTATTAAATATTAAAATTTGAGTTATATTAAAATTAATAAAATTAAAAAATGTAATTGTAGTTAATATAAGTACATAAAATGTGAAATACAACGTGCATATACATTCTTTTATTTTGTCAAAATTCCTATATGAAAATTTTGAAATATGAGCCGTTTATGATCGAATCATGAGAAGGAAATTTTAAGAATAAAAGAAGGAATAGTTATTTTGCTTTAAGTAAAATAATTTTTTTTTTTTTAACTTAAAATAACCTTATGTTTATATTTTAGTTTTATACATTGTTGATTTTATATTTTAAAAATAATTATATCAAATTTTCATATTCATATAATTTTAATAATCTGTTATACTTGGTATTTCATATTGGGGTATACATAGGTGATTTGAAATGATAAACGAAAAATGTAAATTGAAAAATTTTGTAAGAATTGAAAAAAATTTTATAGTTTTGTGAATTATGTGATTGGTGCTAATCTGTTACATATGAGAAAGTGTAATATTTCAGAAGCTTAAGAAATCGGCCAAATTTTTCGTTTGAAAACTAAAATATTGAAGTTGTAAAGCTTAATTTTTCAGTATTCTATAATCAAGTAATTGTAATTGGTAACTTCTAAATTTGTACCCGCAAAGACAGGTAACTTGCATATTTTATTCAAATTTGTAAGACTCCCAAAGGCATTGTTACTCATTTTAGTCTTTCTTTACAGTGAAGCTATTTTAAATACTCAGACCCAAAAATTTTAATTTTAATATTTTAGTTTCATTCACTGTTTAAATTAATTACTACTCAAGGGATTTTTGTAATTATCACGATGTTATTTGAATAGAATGAGTAATATTATAATTCAAGAATCGTCTAACGTTTACGACTTTTCAATAATTTTCAGGTTTACACTGCAGTATATAATTGATTTAAAATAAGGTTAGAAATTTAGTTCAGTTAAAATAACATGCTAATATTAATGAATAACTAATTGAGGTAACTGAATTTTCGAGAGGTCAGGACTAAGAAAACATACAAAAACTTGAAGTACAATTGAAATACACTTTTTTAAACAAAAACTTTTTTTTAATTTAATAATAAAATAAAATAATTAAAATTAAATTTACAATAGAAAAACAAAGGAAAAAAAAAAACTTTTTCAAAAGTTTGTAGTAGAAATGAGTATAAAGGACTTCATTAGCCTTAAGGAGGACAAATTTTAAAATGACTTTTATTTGTTTTTATTCTCTTTCTCTCTCCCTGCCTTCCCCAACTCCTATTTTTTCTCATTTTGCTTTAAATTTTTTTTGTTTATGGTTTTTGATATCTTCAAACCGAATTTTAATTTGAAATTGCTAGATAATGTAAAAAAATTTGCTTTCAAGCTATTTTTTTTTTTTATTTTGACAAAAGATTGAGAATATGTCAGAAGCACCAGTAAAATAATAATTATAAAAGTTATTATACTTGGATGATTTAGGTAACAGAATAAAAAATAAAAAAATTATAAAAAGTTTTAAGAGTTATTCAAGTACAAGAAATCTAATATTAAAATTTTAGAGTTGGACCCGATCTACATACATGCACGTGTATGTATACCTTTAAATATATGTGTGTTCATTTAATCATATTTGTGGAATTTAAAATTTATTAAATTTTGAAAGTATTTTTTTTTTTTTTTGTATACTTATATATTTTTTAATATTATATTTGAAAAAATATTTTCTAAAACAAATGAATGAAATAAAAATTCATTTAACTTTTCTACAAACTTTTGTAATATTTAAATTTCAATAAAATTATTGGTGAACTTTTTGAAAATTTTTGGGAATTTATATAAAATTTTGGTTATAAACAGGAATAGAACGTAGCTATTCAATAATTCAGTTTAAAATTTTATATAAATGTGCATGTGGAACATAATATTTTAGATTTTCGTAAATTGAAAAATTTGAGTGTGAATATTAAAATCATTTTTCAATATACGAGTAGGTCATTGATATTTTTTTTTCGAAATAATTGTAAAATTTACCAAATAAAATTATTTAAAAAGCAAATTAAAATGCAAATTTTTATGATGGAAAACATTAAAAATTTACAATATTGCCTACGTAACTGGGGATTGTTTTACATTTTTATCCAAATTTTTTTATGAGATCAACTGCGAATTTTACCATGCTAAGCTTCAAGACTTTATTACTGCGTTATTTTTATTATTGGTAATTCATAAAATATAGGTAAAAATTTTTAAACATTGAACATTTTTAATTTTGTTTTTTAATTAATTTATGATAATTTAAACTTCAGTATTGAAAAAATAAAATTATTAAAAGGTTATACTATAATTATAATAGCAAATAAAAGGTTACTAAAATTAAGAAATATTGTTATAAAAAAAAAATTATAATAATTGTTGGAAGTGATTTTATCTAATGAGATTTTTTAATATTTTTATTAAATTTTACCAAAAAACATTATTGTTGCATTTACAAAAATTGCAATGCAGCAATTTGATAAAAAAATATTTTGTAAGGTAATTGAGATTCGAAAATTGTATTTATTCAATTATATTTAATTTCATGTTGTTGTTAAAATGCTAATTAGCATTTCGAGAAATTTTTCCATCCTCTAAATAATTTGCATATTTTTAGGCGATTAAAAATTTTCAACTGTTGATTTTGTAACGTGTTACTTAGTCAGACTTCCAAAATATTTCACATATTTTTTTACATAACATCAGCAAATTGTTTAATAATCATTAATATATAAAAGGATTTTTTTACATTGTATATTTTTGAAATTGTATTGATTTTTATTTTAAACCCAATCCTATTGTAAAAAGGATTTACTTCTTTAATTTCAATTTCAATTTAAATACCAAATTAACTTACGCTTTAATTCTCGCAAATTTCCACGTTGTAAATAAAAGCTTAAATTGGCACAGATGCTGTAATTGTTATGTAATTTCTTGAGAGTTGTTTTTGTAATTTTAATAAATTTTTTAATAAATTTTATTAATATATAAAATCTCCCAACATTACTCTGATCAGCCATAAAATTTTAAGACAAAGTAAAAATCTAACCAGTTCTAATTATTGCAAAAAAGAAAAATAATCTAGGTATTTAAATTTTATTTTAATTATATTTTTTTAATAAAATATTTTTTAATCCTAATATTTTAAAAATTTTTTACCCATAAAACCATAACCCTAATTAATAATCCTTCATCTAATAAAACATAAAAAAACAAAAATAGGAAAAAGGGTTATTTTATTGAAATTGTTGTTTTGAAAGCTCAAAATTAAAAGAGCGAAAGAGATAGATAGAATATTGATTAAGAGAGAAAAAGTGAGAAAAAATAACACAAATTAAGTGTCAGAATTAAGATGTGGTAAGGAAATTTATTGCTATAATAATAAAAATTCTAATAAAAAAATTTTTTTCTTAATGCCCACATTTTAAATTATTAAAAAGTCATAAAATTGAAAGATATGTAGGTATGTAGAAGAGAGAAAAGAAATTTAAAATCCTCAACTTTTAGAAGAAATTCGTAGTTATGTACAATCACATACATTATATTTGTATATTTGTTTGTTATACTTTAATTTATTAACAACTTTGCTATTTCTTTATATCAATATCAAGAACAAGGAGAAGAAAATTTGATTCAAGTCTATGTTATATAAAGCTGAACATTTTCCTTGAGTAAAAAAAACACAATCGATTATTTAGTTATTTTCATAAATATTCCAAAATTGATCATATTTATTGCATAATTTTAGGGTCATGATCGAATTTAGGGACTAATATTAGGTGGATCAAGATAAATTATTATATTTTTTTGATGAGAAGATATTATTTACCATTAGTTTTCGGCTTTCATACAATTTCAGAAACGCTGAGAGTTTCGGAAAAATAAAATGCCGAAAATTGAAACTTGAGTCTGACGAACAGACTGGAACAGATGGATAAAATTAAATTAATAAGCAAATCCTTTTTAATTTCATTGAAAATGTGCTTAAAAGTAAATGAATTTAATTATATTTTGAGTAAAATTGACATTTTAGAAAATTTTTGAGTTAAATTGACATTTTCAATAGAATGAATGTCAAGGAAAAAAATTTTGCTATATAAAAAACTTTTCTATATGGATTTATAAAACTTTATTTCTTATTTTTAAAATTTCTATATTAATATAAAATCTATCGATTAAATTAGAACTATATCGATTGAAATTGGAGAATTTGGATTGAAGCATTGGAATTATTTGAAATTTATAAAGTCGGCATAATAATCGTGAAATGGAATGTTGATTTTTGAAAAGATTTATCAATAATATTAAAAATTTGTGGCAATTGGTTTAACACGTTTGAAAAAAATTTGAAGAACTATTAACAAAGGTCCAGATTGTACATTTTAAGACTATATTTATTTTAATATTTAATTTTGCGTATGGTTGGAAAGCCCATTCATTGAAATTTTTTAACTAGGTTTTCAAAATCCTATCATATCAACCGAAAAAATTTGATAATTTTTTAATTTGAGATTTGACTTTTTTCGCCGTCATAAAATTGTTTGGATCGAATGTCCCGTATTCATTTCTTACTGGAACATGAAACTTGAATCCGGGAAAAATGAAAGAACGTAGCAAATACTACAATGCAGTTGTACCTTATTGCCCCTGAATAACGGAAATTGAAATGAAGAATTATGATATTATTATTAAATTTCACTAATTTCTGAAAAATCTATTTTAAATTTTCATGAAAATTTTTTTTGAAATTTTTTTCTTTTGACCTCTGTTTTTAAAATTTTTAGAGAGCAGAATAATTTTGTGACAAAAATAATCTTAATATTAAATTGATACTTTTTTCATTCAAAATAGAATTGGTTTCTATTTTAATTACAGTTTCTTATTTAAATATAGTTTAATTATCATGAAGTAGTTTTTTGTTTTCTGTCCGTGCATTAGTATTTTTAGAAAATTTTCAAAAGAAATCAGAATTTTTAACACTTTTTCTAATTCATT